TTTGAACACACTTTTGCATGCAAGAGCAAGCATGACGAAGTGACTTCAAGCATTGTATAAATATCTCACATTGCTCAGTATTTTCAATATCTATTGAACTTTACTCAGTCAGCATTGATAGTGACACTTTAAATGAACTGGAATTCAACTTACTAGTTTTAAATAAACTTTCATTACCAATAGTACCACTATCAGACCCAGAGCCTGTGCCATTGGCTTCTGTATAGTTACTCCCTGATGCGAAAGAATAAGGATCTATATTTATAGTTATACCAAAAGGTATAGGATTGAAATAGAACTTTAGAGATTGTAAATTGTGATAATAGTAATGATCTCTTATTATGAACAAAGTAAAAATATTCAGAGTATCTTTACAATAGACTAATCTAGAGACTTTCTTATACTAACCCTGAATTGAATATTACTAAAACATAGGTGCAATGCTAATCATATAATCTCACTTTAATATTGAATGTTAGTCACTATTCCTAGGCCCTTGGTTCAATTTTTGTTGCATTTACTAATCAAGATACAGGTTTATAATGTCTGTTAATTCTCATGAATGTGAAGACATTTGATCAACTTTATAATAACTACAAATTCTACTCTTGAAAATATTTGAAATTTTAGATATAGGTGCATTCAAAGGTAGGCTTTAATTCTATCTAAAAAAGGTTTTTAAGCCAGATTTTCAAAATAGTTATTCAAGGTCTAATATTGCCTCAAGTTTAAAATTAAATATATTTCAGGAAGCCTAGGAGGTACTCTAGCTTCTACTAAATCCTTAGAGCCATTAAACTTATTTTGTGGTTGTTGGCAATCTTCGACCTTTTTGCGTAAACGCACCCATATAATATAATATATTATTCTCAGAAAAACACATCAATGACTACCGTAGACAAAAGAAAACCCCCAAAATCCTCTCTGATAGAACATCAGATGTGAGTGGCCGACATCCTACCACTATTCAGAAAAGAAATTCTGAAAAATAATCACTCCTGAGCTATCTCGATGCCCAACAAAGCCAAACCCTGAATAAGCAATTCCAAAAAAAAAAAAAACTTTTATAAGCCATTACCCACCCCCCTTCCAACAACCCCTCCCATCTCTCCATGACAGAACCCCCAGTCGGAAAGATAACCCGACGAATCAATTTTTTTCAAAACTCACGCGGAGAGGTATGATATGATATTCTCCATATGCCATCCAGATATCACAGCGTAAACCACCACCCCCACCACCACCACCACCACTACCAACCAACCCTCCACGACCGCCCCAACATCCACAATCGGTCCAATGTAGAGACAGAATCGCCAAACCCCGATAGCCAGAGCCTGAACAGCACCCAGAGGCCCACCTCTACCAATAAAAGTATCAGAGGGCTATCCCACTACCAAGCGACAAATATAAGGGGAGAAAGAAGAAGGGGAATGAAGAAGAAAAAAAATCCCAGCACACCGAGACTCACTGACGGTGGAAGACACAGCCCGATCATTGACCATGAAACTAAGCGCCATACCAAATCTGCGGAATCACACCCCGCGCCTTCACGACAGCTAGCTAGCTATCGTCGGTAATCCCCACTGGAGGGCTGGTGGTTGTGGACAGCAGCTAGGAGTAGAACGTGGGCGGGGTGGTGGGGTGGTGGGGCTATATGGCGCGATTAGGAGTATCATAGGAGGATGGTTGGCTGGTTCTGGGAAGGGGAGTTGGGAGGGCTGGAATTGCCGAGCTCTTCTCCCTCCTTTATTCTTGGAAGTTCGGAATGGTTAAAGTTTATCTGGGGGTATCAGGTACTACTAGTAGAACTTCTTTGGTCATTACAAGAGCACAAAGATTTACGAATTGGCGTCATAGAACCTACAAGGCATGCATGAACACTGAGTGGGTATTGTCAACGTCTCGAGTGAGGATGTGTGATTACAACACTTTATTCGTCAACCATGATATTCATTTATTCATTCATTCATTCATTCAAATCAATTAACCTTACAACTGTTCCCAACGCCCAACAATACTAATAATATCATAAGGAGAAAAGAAAAAAAAAAGGAAAAAAAAAAAAAAAAAAAACCAAAAACCAAGAACCCCCTAAGAAGGTACACAAACAGCCCTTACAGCCCCTCCATCCCCAACAATCTCTCGCATGCTAGCCTCAGAAGCCCCCTCATTCCTAGCGGTAATCCCATAAACATCCCCCATCCGTCCC